CCCCAAAACCCCAAAACCCCAAAACCCCAAAACCCCTATTCACAAAACCCCAAATGAAATAGCCCTAAATAGTAAGAAATCTTTCATATGGAATTTAAGGTTTACAGAATAATATAGAGCCTCTATTCTTCACAGTAAAATCTTAGGAGAGCATACAGTGGGATAGTTACTTCTTGCCTGATCTTGGGCATAGAAAGTGTATTTGTGTGGTTAAAGTGGGTGATTGGGGTTCCGGAAAAATCTGGATTTTTGTAGATGTAAAAAATCTTCAGTTTTTTGAGGAGATGAATTTTTTGTGTTTTCACCGAAATTTCGCACTTATTTGGAAATTCATAATTTACCGATGGGAGATAAGATGGTGAAGCATTGAGGGGCTTAAGGAGGAAATATGAGGAATCAGATTTTATACTACAATAAAGAAACGAAGACATCTTGTTTATGACAATAATTAAAACTTTTGGAATGGCGCTTCTAGTACCTGTTCCTATTATCTTCTTAATAAAACTTTGCGAAAATGGAGAAATCTCGAGCATCACATCCCTTTATCGTATTATAGATTTAATGATGTGAGTGAAAGAGTTATCACCTTACAAAATTACAAAGATCAACACATAAATCAAGTTGTAGAATTTCCGAGTAATGATTAATGTTATTAAAAATTATAATTTTAATCAAAAGCATAAAAATCTGAGCTTTATACTCGATCTATGCCTGAAGCTCTTATTAGTAGCTTACAAGTCTGTCTTTGATATTGTTTTTTGACTGCAGGATGACTGAGATTTAAAGTAATAGTCGAGATCTATTTCATTCTCAGAGTCAGTATCTGAAGACACAGAATCTGTATCTTGGCCATCATAGTACTGTACTCATTCCTCTTGCTTTTTATTAGTAATATACCCAAAAGAGTCAGCAGTAGAACTGGAGATATACATAAAGCTCATCGGAGTGGGTTTTATGATATGAATGCCGACATGCCTAAGATTACGAATTACCTTCATATCTTCCTCAGTGAATTTCTTAAGGTTCTGCACAACAAGTTTTGTCCTCTTACTCTGAATGTTTGTAGGCTTTCTCGTATCTCTGGTAGCCTGCTGGTTGACTTTCTTTCCTCTTAAAGACCTAATTTCCATGTTATCGGGGTAAATAATATACGTTTGGTATAATTAATGGGGTTTTGGGGTTTTGGGGTTTTGGGGTTTTGGGGTTTTGGGG